ACTGACAACCCACTTTTCACTGCTGCCTCTGCTTCAGCATTACAGAGAGGCAGCAAGGCAGACTCTTGAACAGGCAAATCAATCCTACTCAAAGACCTCATGCTGGGATTTTCAAAGATTTAGGAGTCCATATCCCACTGGATTTCTTTGGAAGTTGGTAACTTAACTCCCTAAGCCCCCTTGCAAAATTTATTTATTTTCCTATTTCCATGAAAGTTATCTATCTTCCCATTTCTCTCTGGTCAGGTTTAGATTCTCTTAAATGTTTAAAAATGTCCTGAAATAAAACCTCTGTCTTAATCTGTGCTTAAGCCACTCCTCACAGTCACCCTTACTTACATAACCACCCTGACATTATAAATGAGCACTTTCCTCCTCTATGGATGGAAAGAACCTGCTCTAAATGGGTTAGACTAGTAGCAACTAGTGACTACTGCAAGCTTTGGGTCAATCAGGTGCAGTCCTAGGTGCAGATCCCAAGTCTGGGATCTTTTTTGGACAGTAGAGTCTTACAGTTCAGCCACCTAAGTCCTTGAAACAAGTGCCCCAGGTCTCCTAAGAACCTCCCATCCAATCGCTTATATAAACCTCAGCACTCCACCTCGCTGTGGGCAATCTGAGCATCTTGGGTGACACTTTTGGGGACAACACAGAACAATTAAGCAAGGAATACAGGATTTATCAAAGGATTTTTTTAACCAGTAGTTTTAACACCACTAGACAAATGCAGATCTCTGGTAGGGGGAAATGCTCTAAATGTATTTCCCACCATCTGATTTCATCCTTCTTCAAGTCCTGGGTTTAAGTCAAATTCCACATGCCAGGCAACATTTCCTGTTTGTTTTCTGCTTTCCCTTAGTTTTCTGCACATTGCTAGGAGTTGCAACCCTCCTGGTCCCTATTCATAGAATGCATTTTCAATTAAATATAATCTCCAATCCCTTTGGGCCAAATACCCAGGCTGGGAAGTCTACTCTCTTACCCCATCCAGGCTTCTTTTTTAGAAAATTCATTATTCTTGTGGATGGGCCAGTAATTGAAATGCAATCAAAATTGATGGCACCAGTTATTCTGGTCCCAGCTTCTCAGATACAGTCACTCAGGTGGCCCTTACAACAAAATGAATGGTTTAATCCCTAGTAGAAGTTACAATACAAAGTTGAAACCCAAGAAATAAATGGATTTCACAAAAGGAGATTCAAAACAGACATGGGCCTATCTGTCACAGTCAGAAAAGCCTTTCAGTTGTATCCACCATGCAGCCTACGCCTGCATATTACTCACCTTCTGTCTGCTTCAGGAAAAGTATAAATTCTTCATTTGACTCTTTAAAGCGACACCAGCCAGATGTTTTTAGGTTTGTCAAAGTTAAGATATGCATGAAATAGCACCTTTCAAACACATCTTAGCAATAATATAAATTTATCACATGCTAAGAGATGAGGTCTTGAGACAACATTAAAGCTAGCTCCTGTGCAAAGTATCCCTATTTTTCATCAGGACATTTTCAGCTGTATTCATCACTACTGACAGATGTAGCCAGATGCATCGCTGTCCCCACTGTTTCCATTCTATGAGCCACTGGGGAATTTTCATTGACAAGATCAAGTGCTCAGACATGAAGAAACTTGCCAATTCCACTCTCCTGCCACCATACAAAGCTAGCTGGCAGAGGGACAGAGTGATGCATGCACAGGCACAAAAAGAGTGGGGTTTTTTTTTTCCCCTCAGCCTTGGGACTTGGATTTTAAAGCTTTCAGAGCCCCCTTTTCTTTGGAAAGTGATTTATTACTGTAAATGCTTTTATTTTAAAGTTCCCTATGTGCAGAAGCCCAGATGACAGTAAGTCAACGGTCCTCAGACTACAGGCTGCATGAATACAGATAATGACCTGCCCCCCTGAGCCTCAATTTTCTTCCAGTGTATAACTGGATCACACAAATAAGTGTTCTGTCCATACTGTGACTCTTTGTTTGCAGAGATGGCAAATGTAGCTCTCATAAGGACTGTATGCAGTAAAATCAGAGGTAATCCACTCCAAAAATATGCTATTTTAAAACAGAATAAATAATGGACTTTGAGAGTGTTCCCTTTGCTGAAGAATCTCTCAGTGCATTGTTTTTCTGAGGAACAGTGCATGCTATTCTATCTATACTTTGAGAGAGCTAATCCTAGCTCCTTTGGGGTAAGAATATACTATTAGGATCAAAACCTTGTGCCTGAATGAATTTTACTACATATCATTACAACACACTGACACAGCATGGAGAATAAGTAACAATTGTTGTATGTAAAAGTCACGCAGCTGGACACAGGTTGTTTCTCATAACAATAATTTGCCAGTCCAATGACTGGCCAGAACATCAGGGGGAAAGATTTCATTCCACTTTATGCCAGAGGACAGAGTGACTGACACAAACAGCTTTATAAATAGATAATGCCTGTCTGTATGCACATGGACATTGACTTTCATTAGGATCATTAAGTGCAGTTAATAGAATGCAAATGAACCAAGAAAGAGAACAATAAAGGCGAGACAGAAGAATGTTGGTGGGGGGGGGGGTAAATTAACTTTTTTGGCATGAGAAGCCAGTATCCATTGATTTCAATATTTTCTAATTTGGGGAAAATAAACCATATTTACCTGAATACAAGATGACTCCGAATTTAAAACCGCACCCCAATCATCAGGTTCTAAACTTGGAAAATGTATAAATTTGTTAAAATTTTCCATGTATATAATCTAATTTTGGAGGGTTATCTTAAATCTGTCCTCCCACCACTGCAACAGGGCAAGCAGCAGCAGGTGGGGGGGTAGGTGGGGAGTGGTAGGGGAATATGGTGGCCTGACCCCTGCCCCTTACCACTTGTCCCTCCTACTGCCCCCCACCCCTGAGTGTCTAGACACCCCACAAGTGCCCCTCACAATGGTGCCTGTACCGTTTCATGCCTCCCACCACTCTTATTCCCCTTGTGCCTGCCTTCCACTTTAACCTCCCTACTTCCTGCCTGCCAGAACCAGAACTGCTGCCACTGCAATTGCTACACAGCTGGGTGAGGTGGGAGGCAGAATGTGCTCCATGCTCCCCATTCTGAGCTGGAGACGGACCCCAGCTGGAGCCAGAGTGGCAACAGCAAGGTAAGCAGCAGTGGCCAGGGCAGCTGGGGCAGAATCAACAGGAACTTGGTAACGAAGAGTAGACATGGAGGGGAAGGGAGCAGAGCAGAGGGGGGCAGGTGTCAGAGGGGGAGCAGTGGCTGAAAAATCCTCATCTGGGATTCAAGTAAATATGGTATTACAGTTACATCATAATTACATCATAATAATAAACAATAAACACACAGAGATGCATTTAATTAAAAATAGATATAAATTATTGGATTCAGAATTCAATCAGCCCAGAGATGAAAGGGTTATTGTACTGCTTCTTAGGTATCTATCAATAACTATCATCTCAGAGCCTTAATGACAACAGGGTTCTCCTGGGATATCAATCAGGTTTGCTGCCCTTATTCATACTTTTCTGGGTTTATACAAATCCATAATTTGTTTGGTTTGACTATGGTGTTTACATTATTAAGGTGGTTGGTTGGTATCAACAACACTTTATCAATTTCACCTTTTATTTTTCTTACACTGCTATTGGGACTTTTGTATACCATATATTTGTGGTGGCATTCTGGGATGTATAATACATTACATTGTTACTTCCATAATGAATCTAAGTCTATTAAACAGCATCTCATAAAATTCTAAGAGAACAATTTCTGCCTCCTACTGGGTGCATCTACACATGCGCTTTACTGCAGAGTACACTAATTAGTTCTGCAGTAAAGCATCACCACCTACATGTGCACCAATATTAGGGCACAATAAATTAACTCTGCCATAAGATAGTACTGTTGGGGGTGGTACTATCCTATGGCAGAGTCATTAAGGCTAAGTACAAACAGTCACAAAGCCCAAGGCAGAATCGAGTCAATCTAAACAGCTTCCTCTAAGCTGCATGGATTGAACTGATAACCAACTGAACTGATGTTCAGTTTTCAACTGGGAAAGGCAGAGGGAGGCCTGTACTGACCCAGGCCAGTAGGCAGGGGGCACTAAAACAGGTCTCCCAGACTGCTGGCAATTGCCAGCCCAGCCAAGTGGGGCCATCCCCAATTGGCTCCCCAATACATGCTCCCAGCCCCATACTGTCCCTCCACAGGGGTAGAAGAGCCCCCAGTCCAGGTGTTGGCCCACTTTCGGAAAGCCTCACCCTCAGGGGGTTTCCCCCAGCCTGAGTTTCCCAGCCCAGGCAGCCCTGGGGAGCAGAGGGAAATTTCTCTCCCCTCCCCTCCCCTTTCCAGCTACTGATTGCTTCAGCCACTGCCACAGGATAGAGGGAGGAGCCCTTTGGGCTGGGTGCTTTTTGCAGCCCAGCATGGGGTCACTGGGGAGCCACTGACTTGGGGGGCTTCATCCAACCCCAGCCCAAGATTCCCCAGCCCAGGACAGCCCCAGGGAGCTGAGGGGAATTTTTCCTCTCCCAAACCCCACAGCTGCTGAACTCAGCCATTGCAAGTCTCAGCCACTGCAACACGCCCCTACCCCTGGGCCTTGGGAACGCCTTCCTCCGCTCTCCTGTGGCAGTGGCTAAAGCAAGCAGCTGTGCATGGGAGGGGAAGATGAGGGCTGCCCCCAGCAGTGGGAGGGTGGCAGAGGAGTGAAAAGCTGGCTGGGGCATGAGGGTGTTAAAGTGCAGGGGATGCCTAACTATATACTAATCAGTTTAACATTATCCAAGACCGATACTCTATAACTCTTAATTAAATTATAAAAATACCAACATCACCAAATTTAGAAATATTGAGGTGTTAACAAAATATATTTCAAATGCTAACTTGTTTACACTACAATAACCTGTTGTTAATTAAGCAGTAGCATGCAGTAAAAAGATTTCTAGATAGAATTTAGTCTATAAGAAGATAGCGAGAAAGGAAAAAAACAAGCCTACCTCATATTCCCTGCCATAAGGAGGCACAGATTGTAAATGTGAGAAAAAATGAAGAGGAAGAGAATGATGCTGAAGAACATTGTCATCCAAGATCCATGATCTTCTCTAAACATTTTTAGCCGGAGTAATTGACCTGTGGTATGAATATGATGAGAAATCAGTTGTCTTTAATTTGGCCTGCAAATGTGCATCTACTTTACAGCAAAAGGAAAGCCAGTTTCTAAATTCTATTTACTTTTCTATTTACATTTCTTGCAGCCACCACAAATACAGAATATTCCTGCGACATCACACTATATTTGGGTTTGCTTCCCATTAACCTTTGTCTGTCTAACTTAGCACCCGATCTTACAACCAGACCCCTGCATATGTACAGTCCATAGCTCTGTGCTAGACAATCACAACAGAGAACTCCAGCCCTATTTTAAATGAGACTAACACATTAATTCACTTAAGACAAATACCAAGGCTGAAAAGTTAGGGGGGCTCGGGTAGTTCACAGATACAGCACATTTGGGCAGGAGAATGGAAACATACTTTTGTAGCAGAATGCTCAGTTCAGCTGTAAGACCAACCACGGAAGAAAGGAAAACAGAAAAATTGGCTGCACAGGAGAGAGAGACGTCACATTGGAGAAGAGGAGGAAGGGTTGCTAGACTCCCTAAGCTCAAAGAACACCTCAGTGGTAAGAAAAATTTATTCAAGGCAATGCAGAGAGCATGTTTGTTATTTTGCCTACCTCTATTAGATAAAACAGATAGGAACCCTTAAAAACTGTGTCTGTTTGCTTTCAACTCTCTCCTTTCCTGAAGAAGTGAGCTGTAAACTGAGCGTGTCCAATAGGTTAGTACTCTAAGAAAGAGTGTTCTTAAGATTCTGGAGAGTCTGGGAGCCAGCTCTGGTTCTGGGGACCTAGGGCAGCTGGGCCACAGAGTCCAGTTTCCATAAAGGTTTAATAGATTTTGCCCTGGAGAGGCCAAGGAAAAGGCAGCATTGCACCCATCTAGATCAACGGAATCATAAAAGCAAACAGGTCTTGCATCCCAGGGCCAAATGTACCAGTCTGGTGAATGCCCAGGCAGCAGGAGCTGCACCAGGACTGTGTAACAAATGAATATTATTTTAATAGGATATATTTTGCAAAGGATGTGCTTTATAGCTTTGTGTTCATACTGCTTCAATTTCCAGCATTGCCTTGGACAACGTATCCATATTCTGCTATGACTTTCAGAGTTATGTAATCATATGTCCTGAATGTGACAGGTGTGCTAAAAGCCAGAAAGCCAAAATAATTTAAATCCAAAATATTTCCATTACAAGCAGACCTGAAATAAATTAAACAAATATATAAGGAGCCATTTTTCAAGATAAGAGAATAAATGGCAAAGCATGCAAGAAGATAAGAAACCATTAGGCTTATATAATGGAAAAAAGCAAAAAAAACCCAACCTTTTGAAAACTGAATAACAAATTGAATCAAGAGGTTTTGCTCTGTAATAGAGATCATACTAACAACTTCTCTTCAAAATAAATTATGTTTAAACATATTAAAACACAGTAAGTTTGCTTTTTTGCAAAAGGAAAAAATAAATTATCATCATATGCCTTCCTAGTGCTTATTACATCCCTATCTTTCTCAGTACCTGTTTGCCTTTCCTGTGAGAGGATAACAGACAACTTTTAGCTTTTGTGACCTCTTTGTTCCTATGGGTTTATTGCTTGTTTGCTTCTCCCAGCACTGTCCCTCTCCCCACTTCCTCTCTCTCCTCTTCCCAGCTTTTGTATTCAAATCACTTACTCCACTTCATACACTATTCTATGCTGTCCTTTCATAGCATCTGATGAAGAGAACTCGAGTTCACAAAAGCTTGTGCTCTATATTTCTTTAGTTAGTCTATAAGATGCATAGATATGCATCCAGCCTTCTGCCTGAGTTCAGACTAACACAGTTAACTGCCTCTCAGGCTAGGGATGCAAGTTACACATAAACCAATTTAAGTGCTCAGAAACTGATTTAAACCTGTAACAGAACATAAGTTCAGTGCACACAAAACCAGTTTCAAAATGGCTGAAACTGGTTTAAGATAAACTTAGTTGAATGTAGTATCAGACTTAACTGATTTGGGTCAAACCAGTTTATGGAACTTGTATTCCAGACTCCTTCCTGGTTTAAGTTAAATCAGAGTCCCTCAGCATCCCAGCATGCTTTTCAGCCCTGGACTGGGCTGTCTGCTCCAGAGAGTAGGGCTGGCCTCACTCTTCTCCTCCCTAGCCAGAGCTCAGGCTGGTTGAGAAGGAGGTGGAGACTACAAACACAGCAGCATCTGCTTGCTGCTCAATCAGGGATCACCCCCTCCCTCCCTCCTCCCCCCTTTCCCACAAGACAGACCCCAGCAGCATGGACCCTGCTGGCATCTGGTTATGGTCACGCCACCCCCATGCTAGCTAATGTTGAGAGTTGTCTATGTGGGTATGTCTCCAATTTCACTGGAACAAAGGCAGAGAGAACAGTGTCCGCTTAGGGCTTTTTGAAGCTAATCAACAGGTCAGCTGGTAATGTCCCTCTGTTCTTCCTTAAAAATGCTTTGTAAAAAGCTGTTTAAGAAGACCTTTGTTTTCTTGATGGGCCGATAAGCTTCCTGCTGGCTTGATGTCAGTGTGGGGACAAAGAGAGGTGTGGAAATGACCTGGTTTGAAATGAATGCAGTGCCTGTCAGTTTGCTACTGACAGTATGAGAAGCAGGGAGAGAAGGAAACGGAAAAGCTCAGTACCATCAACAGATGCATGCAGTCCACACAATCAGTTCTTCCTCTCCTCCCCCCGCTTCCCCCTCCCCTGCCCTTTGCCTCAGAGCAGTAGCCAGGGGTCAGTGTTTGGCAACACTCCTGCCCCTTGACCAAGGAGCAAGGGGAAAGCTTGGTGAGGGCTGCTTCCCCCTCCCCCTCCAGACACACCCCAGCTGGGGACTGTGCAGGGTTAAAACCCTCCCTAATCAGAGTATCCTGCTAAGGCCTGGCCATGTCCCCCCTCCCCCCCCAGCTCAGCACTATGGAAGGAAGGGAGGGTTCATCTAGTGTCTCCTGGCTTCAAGTCTGAGCCACTGTAGGCATGTGACTGCATTTCCTGAATCAAAAGTGAATATTTATCTACTTGCAAATCAGTTCAATCTCTGCAGGTTAGACTAACCTGCAAAGATTTAATAAATTCAGGCTCAATTCAGACATTTTTTAATGTCTATCCCTGGCCTCTGTGTACCAGAGGCTAAGGAAAGAGACAGTGCTGCAATCTATCTCTGTTAGAGTGTATGACAAATGAATAATATAATGTCTAGGCCACTTTTATGACAATGGTCTCCTTCAAATGCCTTACACCTACTTTGCACATGAATAAAATCCTTTTCCTCCCCCCATTGAAAAGCGACCTGAGAAGGAAACATAGCTGTCATTCTGAGACAGGAAAAGCAGCACCATTGTTTAAGGAATGGAAAGGTATTCATTAAGACAGAGAAGCATGGAAATGAATGGGTAAGCCCAGGTTAGGTTTTTATCCTGAAAGATGCTGAGCACTGTCTTTTCAATCAGCAAAACTCTTAAGCGTATTTAGTTATGTGCATGATTCCAAGCTAAGCACATGCTTGTGTTCTGCTGATCAGGGCTGAAGTGTTCATCAACTTGCAGAAATGAGACGAACTGAAACTCCTAAATTAGAACTTAGCCATGCCAAGAGCTAGTACATAAAACAAACACATAAAAAAAATTATATCGCACCCTTACACTTTTTAAAATTTCAATTATATGACCATCTGATTAGATACACCATGGGAGCTTTGCTTATGGCAAGTGTTTTGTAAACATTACTGCCAAGGGAGGAAAGATTGCTTTGTTGTCATTGTCCTGTTCTCTGCTCACAGCAAGAGCTGGGCAATTCTCACCTGGCCTAGGACTCCCTTACTTAGGCAGTAGACATAGATGTCATGTATTTTGTACAATATTTGCATAATGTCAATACAGGAAACTGTGACATGATTAGAACTACACAACAGCTGCTATTGGAGCACTGCTATTCCAGCATTGTGCAGATTCAGGCCTGCTTAGATTTTTGATGCAATGCCATCACAAAAAAGTCTATTGGTTAAGATCCTGTATTAGATCTTAAACTTGGGTTCAGAGTTCAGTTCTCCCACAGATTTCCTGCGAGACTCCTAGCAGATTACTCTGGTTAGGGACAGAATTTATACATAAACCAGCTTAAGTGAGCAGAAACTGGTTTAAACCTGTAACAGAAAAGAAGTTCCATGCACTTAAACCACTTACAAAATGGCTGAAACCAGTTTAAGATAAACCTGATTGGATGTCGCATCAGACTCAACTGATTTAGGTCAAACCAGTTTATGGAACTTCCATCCCAAACCCCCTCCTGGCTCAAGTTAACTCACAGTCCCCCAGCATCCCAGGATGCTTTGCAGCCCTGAGCTGTGCTTTCTGTTCCACCCCTCTGCTCCCTAGCCAGAGCACTATCACTGCTCAGCCTGCCTGAGAAGGGAGTGAAGGTGGGGAATCTGGCTCTAAACCCCAGCCAGGGTCTGCCTGGTAGGGGTGGAGCAGCCCTCAGTCTTTTCCCCTGCTCCCCTGTTTAAACCCCTCTCCCCCCACCCCTCTGCCTCAGCCTGCCGGCATTGGGCCATAACCCCCACCCCTTCACTTGAGTGGGAAGCAGGGGAGAAACCAGGCAGGTGATGCCTCCCCCTGGCAAACTCTGGCTGGGGGCCGGATCCAGCTCCCCACCTCAGTCTGTGAGGCCCCAGCTTGGGTAAAGCCACAATCTCCGCTTGAGCAGGGGGAAGAGGCCTAGCAGGGACTACCCCCTTCACCCAAGGCAGACCCAAGTTGCAGTTGGGCTGCGTCCTATGCAGCTACAGAAGGACTCCCCATCTCAGCCTGTGAGCCCCTGGCCAGGGTGTGGCCATGCCCCCCCTCTCTGCTCATAGGGAGAAAAAACGTGACAGGAACTGCCCCCTCCCCTTAAGTGAGGAGTAGGGAATAGAAGCCTGGCAGGGGCTTCTCCCCGCAAGACATACCAGGGCTCAGGTCCCACGCAGGCCAAGGAGTGGGGTTTATAGCCCCTCTTCCTCT